ATTTTCTTTCTTATGTGAAACACAAAAGAAGATATTTAAAGTGTTAATTTTAAAATAGAGTGTGAGCCTTTTTCCCCCGAACAGGAGGAATAGAGGATAGGAAGAGATTGGGGCTGTGGATCTGGAAATGGTACAAGACAAATTCAAACTGATGTTGCCCATATGAGCACCTCATCTCAACATGTCAACATGTCACGTAAACTAACCACTATACCATATTGCCATTTAAAACATATGACTGCAAGTTCAAACACAACGGAATTCTTTAAAAATAAATAAATAAATAATAATAAATCTAAATATAGTCTTATTTATATAAACTACCATTCAAAAGTTTGTGGTCAGTATGGTTTTTTTAAATGTTTTTGAAAGAATGTTTGTTGAATATGTTTACGAAGGCTGCATTTATTTGATCAAAAGTAAAGTAAAACAGTAGTATTTTGAAATATTATTACAATTCAAAATAACTGTTTTCTATAAAACGGTATATAACAGTATAAATTATATATTTAAATAAATTAATTATATTTATAATATATAATAAATTGTAATATATCTTAAAGTTAATTAAATATATTTATAATATATAATAATATATAATTATGATATATTTTAAAATATACTCTATTCCTGTGATAATTTATTCCTGAATTGTCAGCATCATCATGATCCTTCAGAAATCATTCTAATATGCTGATTTGGTGCTCAAGATTAATTTCTTATCGTTATTTACATTTTTTTTTTTATAATCTTACTTTTGAACAGTAGTGTAAATCAAAGTAAAATGTTATAAAAAATATTTCAACATTTTTAATTTAAGTGGTGTAATCATTAATATATATTAAGTTTTTTTTTTATAATTATAACATTTTTTTAAAATAACAATTTTTGTTTTATGTATTTTATTTAATATATATAATTAATGTATTTTATTTCATAACATTTGACAACCTGAAAAAAAAAAACAGTTTTAAGTTATTTTGTTTTAGAAGCTATAATAAAAGTACTACCTAGGGTTTTTTTAAAACCCTGTTTTTGTGTTAGTGAGGCCAGCAGGGGGTGCTCACCCTGTGGTCTGTGTGGGTCCTAATGCCCCAGTGTAGTGATGGGGACACTATACTGACAAAAAGCACCATCTTTCGGATGAGAAGTTGAACCGAGGTCTTGACTCTCTGTGGTCATTACAAATCCCAGGATGTTCTTCGAAAAAGAGTAGGGGTATAACCCCGGCATCCTGGCCAAATTCGCCCATTGGCCTCTGACCATCATGGCCTCCTAACCATCCCCATATCTGCTGATTGGCTTCATCACTCTGTCTCCTCTCCACCAATAAGCTGGTGTGTGGTGGGCGTTCTGGCGCAATATGGCTGCCGTCGCATCATCCAGGTGGATGCTGCACACTGGTGGTGGTTGAGGAGATTCCCCCCTTCTATGTAAAGCGCTTTGAGTGCCTAGAAAAGCGCTATATAAATGTAAGGAATTATTAATTATTATTATTATTAAAAATAATTTTAGTCTGTTAATAAACTTTTCTTTGTTACAAAATCATTTTACATTTACATTTACATTTAGTCATATAGCAGACGCTTTTATCCAAAGTAGAGGTCTGCGCGGAACTGTTTTTTTAGTCCCGCTCCCGGAAGGTTATATTCCGCATCTGCACCCACCCGCTCCCGCTATATATTCACTCTTTGTTCACCCGCTGTCCGCTTAGAATAATTTTCTTCCCGACCTGACCGTTCCTGCTAAATTTAGATCTCGTTTCCAGAATCTCACATTTAAATTTCCGCTACTGAAAGAAAGAGAGATAGGCTGACAAATAAAAGTGTAGTCTGCACAAAATTGTATGTTATTTTATTCGTCTTGTCAAGAGTCTTGAATTTATTGACTTTTTATATGAATTATCTTAAGACACAAAATTCGTTTCATATTTTATGCAACACAGTAGGAAAAAAGTGTCAGAGAAAATAAAAATGTTGTACAAAAATTGTATTTCTTATTTTTATTCGTCTTGTCAGGATACAATTCGTTTAACATTGACAACACAGTAGGAAAAAAGTGTCTCAGAGAGAAAAAAAATAAAAATGTAGGTTGTACAAAAATAGCCCAGTAGCTGTTTTTATTCGTCTTGTCAAAATACTAAATTCGTTTGACATTTTTCTGTCGAGCATCGTTATGCACATGCTGCGCACAGACCACGCAATTAAAATGCGTAACGTTAAAAGCATGCGTGCAGCGCATGCATAACAGTCCTGAGCGCAAGCTGTAAGCTGGTCAATAAGAATAAAGCACAGATATGTTGTTCTAAATGGACGTCGGGAACGGGATATTGTTAGACCGCCCGCTCCCGTTCAAATTACACCAGAGTTACCAACCGCTACCGCGTTTTATTCGGGAATTTAATCCGCGGGAACAGCATATCTGCACTTTATTCTTATTGACCACCAGTACAGCTTGCGCTCAGGACTGTTATGCACGCATGCTTTAAACATCACACGTTTTATTTGCGTGGTCTGTGCGCAGCATGTGCATAACGATGCTCAGAGCAGGCTGTACCTGTGGTAAAAA